TCCCATTTTGCACATTTGGAGAGTAGTGGACGGACGGCCATGACCACACAAATGCCCTCCCACCTCTATCAGTGCCGTTGATCGCAGTTATGCCATCTACCCTCGGCTCGTCAGTTTTATCAATGGAACTCATGTCCTCACCCCTCCATTCAATCGCATGAATGGAGGGGATGAGGGCACTTCGTGCGATAGACGCCCTCCATCAGTGCGATCAATCCACTCCATTCGTGAGATCGATCTCTTCCATTGGTTCGATCTATGGCACCATGGAAGGGATCTATGGCACGAACGGAGTGAATTGATCGCACTGATGCCTACCAGGGCCGCAGCAAGGCTGCCACTTTGATTTTTATTTTTTTTTCCTAATAAAGGGTGACTGACCCCAGGTATTACGTTCTTCCATTCATCAAGGTCCGTCAGGATTCAAACTTGGGCCTGTTATTCAGCAGTTCATGGGTGTACCAACTGAGCTAGGCTCACTGGTGCCACTTTGAATTCAAGATGACGGGAAAAAAAAAAAAAAAAGAAGAAACCCTGATCCATGGTCCATCGGGCCACAAGAAAAAGAAGAAGAAAAAAGGGCCCATCAGATTCGACTATCAGGTGTGTGACCACACAGATAGCAGATGGAGCAATTGTCAGAAAGTCACAGACATGTCTCATTCAAATTTTGCTGTTTTGCTACCCGTGTGTGAGTATGCTGCACACATAAATATCAAATTCGAAATTGCAAAATTGGCAAATTGCAGATTTGCAATTTTGCTCACTGTGTGTGAGTATGCCCTTTGGGTTCCCGTGTAGTGGTTGGTAGGTAGCTAGTGGGAGACTGACACAATATTGAGAGAAGAAAATAGAGTAGTAAAATTACAGCAGTCCCCCCCACACAAGGAGAAGGCAGCATTCTAAAAAGAACGAAAAAAAACAGGCATCTGTTCCCCCACACGAGGAGAAGGACCTTCAGAAGTGCCAGTTGCTTACATGGCATTCAACTCTCTGCTGATCTCTGAAATTGTGCTGCTATTGGCACCAAAGCATCAATTTAGAACCAGTCACAAACACAGGTGCAATGGCATGGAGGGGAGCATTTCGGGAGGGATACTGGATTGGAGCGACGAATGGATATTGCCTAATATTCTGCAAAGCAATCAACCTCCACCTGAAGAAAATAGTCCCATCAGGTACATATCGAGCAGCCGCAGGCACGCCAGTACATCAAAATCATGGCCATCTTATATACGACCGCAGACTTAGGAAGGCCTCACCAGTACTGGAGGTTTCATGTAAGAAAAGGTCCCCAGTGCAATGATCCTCTCCGCACAACATGCACATTGAAAGCTCACATGAAGATTCACACCAAGACCAGATATGGAACACCCAATCAACGCAGCTCAGAAACTCCAATGACTACTCATATTATACAAATTCAGAGTTCAGGTAGCCAGCGCAGCGCAGTCAACAACAATCTCAATCAGGTATGTACGCAAGCTTCCTCCTCATGTGACTCTCTCTCTCTCTCTCTCTCTCTCTCTCTCTCTCTCTCTCTCTCTCTCTCTCTCTCAACTCTTGTATCACTCTGCCTATCCTCTCTCTCCTTGGATCGTAACCCTGGATACATCCGCCTTCCTCCTACGGCAACTATGTCTACGGCGGCTCCGGCCGCCAGTCTTCCTCAACCCTAACGCCACCCAACAGGCCCTCTGGCACTCAGTCCAAGCTGTGAGGTCGCACAAGCAACCAGCAGCACTTCTGCATGTCACGCAGAACCAAAGCTGTAGGGGCTTCACTCTAGCAGCTATTAATAGTTGCTTGACTAGGCTTTGGTCTGCTTCTGACTGGTACAGGCCGCCCGCAGACTTCTTCTAAATGAGTTTTGGTTGCCCAGTACCTTCCGGACTTCTCCTCGGGATGCTGCTGCAAAATTGGACTTTGGGCCCAGACTTTTCTTGTCGGGTACTGGTTTGACTTCTATCGGTACTGGCCCGACATGGCCTACAACACTTCGCCTTCCTAAGGACCCTGGGACCCTACAGACCCCACCTCGGACTGAACTACTGGGACAGGTAGGACCGGGTCCATCTGGGACTGGGACAATTTGGGACCCAGGAACTGGGACTACTGTCTTATCCCGAGAAAAACGTACGTACGTTGATACAAAATTGTATTCAAATACGATGTACCCCGTACGTTGTACAACGAGTTTTAGGGTACAACTTTGCAGGAGCTTGTAGTAGCAGACACCGGTTTTATTTTTTCTTCTCTAATTTGGTTGGGAACTTTTCCAAGACCCTCGGGCAAAAGTTCTTTGTATTGCCATTTCGTGCAAAGTTTTTTATTGGATTTTTTTGGATTTTTTTTAAGAATCGAAATTCTTAAGAAATATGAAAAGTTTGAAAACACTGCAAAGTGCCCTCAAAAGGCAGGCTGGTCCCCAGGCGGCACCGCTGGGGGAAGGTCACCTGGGTACCCTCCAGGGCGGCCCAGGCCAGGCAGGGACCAGGAAGGGGCCCAGGCAAAAAAATCAAAAAATTCAAAAAAAATATGGGAAAAAAATATGTTGTATAAAATTGCAGTACAAGCAACTTTTGGCTCCCCTAGAAATTCCTTATTAATTTCAAGATAAAACAAAAGAGTTCAGAGTGACTTTATACCACCCAAACACCCCTGGGTGACCCACCACCGAAATGGAAGGTAAGGCCAGATTCTTACTGCTCAGGCCGAGTGCAGTCCTGGCCTGAAGTCAGTTTCTCTTTTCGGGGTTCCTTCCCTCTTTTTTTGAACTGCCTGGTTTCGCCGGGCGATTCCCCCGGGCCCAGCTGGCCCGAGCATGACTGGCAACGCGTGCCTGGCCAGGCGACAGCCCAGCCTAGCTCAAAATATATTTTTATTATTTTTATTCTTGTTTTTATTTCTTTCTCGAATTCGGCTGTGCATTTCGACATGACCCTCAGGCAAAAGTTGTTTGTATTGCAATGCTCTACAACTCTCTGTTTTTTTTTTCCAGAATTTTACTCGGCTACCAGCTGGGCCGCCGGGTCACCCTGTTTTCCTGGGCGGCCCGGCCGTGCAAGGACCAGGGAATGTCTGAGCAAAAAAAAAAAAAGGAAAAATCTATATTACGCAGAAAAATAAACTGAACAACTTTTGCCTCACGGTCACATCGAAATTCTTTACCAAATTTAAAATGAAAAATCAAATTAAAAACTAATTTTTATTTTTGCAAGGAATATGATCAAGAGCGGATAGACAGAAAACCAAGTTGCAACATCACGAAGTAGTCCAGATATTCATGTACCAAGCAGAGAGCACAATGCACCAAGATTCCATCCAAATAAGAGCAATACAATGAACTTGAGTGTCAATGCCGACTCTCCCTGATCACACCACCACTGTATCCAATGTCGCTCCTACTGTCTGGCACCTAGCGCCCAGCCTACTCTACTCAGCCTATCTACCTGGCTACGTTCTTGCAATGGGATCGCATCGAAGCCGAAAACCAATGTACGTGACAACAACACCAATGCCGACCACCAGCATACACCAGGTACGCGCTCTCTCTCTCTCCCTTCTCATCACCCCTCGTCTCCCACCTCATGCGCCTCCTACCCGAAGACTGCCTTCGTCATCACCTGCCTGCGCCCCTGCGGCCCGGCTATGCTGCACACCCGCTGCCTCAGCAGCGCCCCTCAGCTCAGCGCCCGTGCGCACGTCCGACCGGCACCGCCCATACAGACACTAGCGCAGCAACGCAGCAGCGTGTCCGCATTGCCTGCCAAGAACAGAATGCCCTCCCAGGGCACACACACTATTCTTTATGGAAAGTGTGTCCGCTACTGGCTGGCCTGGCCAGGCGTGTGGGGGCCCAGTAGCTTGCCTCTGGCCCCAAGTGTCTGCACCCAGGCCCAGTCTCCGATACTGACCTGGGCCTCGTACAGTTAGGCGCATCCAGGCAGCCTTCCAGCCTCCAAGTGTTTGCAGCATTCCCATTGCCTCGTGGCTCATGTGTGATGACAATGCTGCTTTCTCATTGGCTCACAGCCAGTCCGTAATGTGTCGGCCTCACACAGCGTGTGCCCAGGGCGCAACAAACTGAGCCCTGAACTCAACTGTACAGTGCAGCCCTTTTCTTCTGGAAAGAGCCTGGAGGCTCACATTGCTCTGTAACGAACTGGCATGCTGCAACTGTCTGAGTACCCACGTATGGAAAAAATGTCAAAAGCAGGCCTCACAGGGATATTCAGGGCCGCCTTCACTTAGGGCAGGCGCTTGCTTGCTAGCGGCCGCAAGCGCCCGCAGCCCATGACACTTGTATGTCTGATGAGGACCCCAAGAGGGCTCATCCCTCGCATTTTTTTACTTCTTTATTTTGTTTTGGCCCGGCCGGGCAAGCGGTCCCGGGCCACTCTGGTAGCCTAGGAATTTTATGATTTTTTTTCCACCCCCTAAAAGAAGGCTTGATTTCATTATACATGAGCAAAAGGAGGCCGGGAATCCCTCCACATCTCAACCCGGAGTACTGGGGCCAATACCAGCTTCGACTTTTACTGGAAAACGGGTCCAGTGTCCCCTGCTTCGGGATCTCCCCTAGCTAATCCACAACCAAATTTTACAAGACGGCCCCACTACAGCCAACAAAAGCGAAAGACCAGAGGCTATTTACTCATCCTGGAAATTTTGAAAATTGAAATTAGCAAAATTTGAATACAACGTACGTATGTTATGTACGACAGTATGCTCTACTCCAAAAAAAATCAGTGATTTCGTTGAACCCATTTTTTTGAGGTAAGTTGAATAGAACATAAGTACGTTCTTTTGGGGGAAAGACAGTAGGGTGTCTGTGGCGCGAAATCCTTTCACCAGTACTGGCTGAGTAATACCAATTCCCTTCAGCACAGACTCAAATAACCATGCAAATTGGCTTCATCCCCACATACCAACTTTCATGCAGTATACCTCACGAGGCTCTACTTTTGTGCACCACCCAGGCAGGATATATCACTTGCCTTGTCAATTGTAACGCTTGGAGAAAGACCTTGTGCCACCACTTTCATCAACACATCCTTTCCCCTGAAGTCAATGCAGGAGGAGATAAGAAAGAAATGAATATACAAACCCCAAAATATTGTCAAGCACAGTATCATCCAGGAACACTACAAAACCTACCATCAGACCATCTCTCACAATTCACAGTTTTCGCTGGCTTTCATCATAATCATGCTTGATCAATTACACCAGTGTTCCACCCTGTACGCATCTGGGGGACTTGAGTATACAAGCATGCAAACGAATGTATATGGCCTTGTATGCAGCCTTGTACAAGGTTGCCATGCAAGGTAACAAGAAAAAGAAAGAAACAAAGAACTGGAAGAAGGATATATTTTGCAGCATTGCAATACAAACAAGGTTTGGCTGAAAGTCATGTGAAAATTTAAAGTCAAATCTGAAGGGAAAGAACAAGAAACAAACGTGTACACTACATGTATAAGAATTCGTTGGTGCCACAAACACGTACAAGTATGTGAACACGTGTGTGCGCAGTGCAACACTGGATGACACATTTCAATGACTTCTTAAAGACTCGAGCAGGTCTTGTGTCACGATCCCGAAAGAACCGCTCGAGGCTTGGGACAAACCAGTGCACAACCAGTGAATGCAGTGGGGCAAAACAGCATGTTTCTGCATGTTCTATTGATGTGAGCCGGTTTCTTTTTGGGGCTCAGTGCGGAAGGGTTCTTTTCTTTGGTGGTAGTGGTGGTGGGAGGGTGCTTGGCGTCAAGGAGTGGCCACTTCTTTTGTTTTTTCCCTTTTCTTGGCTTTCTTGGGTGGTGTTCTTTTTATGGTTGGCTTTCACGAAAGTTCCGTCTTTTTGTGCCACCAGCGCCTCCTCACTCCTCTGCCACCTGCTCTTCTCTCAACAATGTGCTCCTCGAGGTGGCTGAGGCAGCAGAGGAGGAAGACGTGCCAGAGGAGGGCCAGCAGGGGGAGGAGGAGGAGGAAGAGGAGGTGGCACTCTCTACCCGGTGACTGATTGACGCATTTAGAACACACACATGTGTTTGTGCGTAAGATCGCCGTGCGTGCGTGCGTGTGCCTGTATGTGTTTAAGACTGTCGTCACAACGGCCCCTTTTCCACCCAGTTGAGCAGATTCAATATTGAAATAGCCTTACCTTACAACCTTCTATCGCGTTATTGTAACGTTTTGATTAAATGGCCGTTTCATTCTTACTAGGGGACCTGTTGCGGCTACGCCCGCAATAAAAATGGAATCTCTCTCTCTCTCTCTCTCTCTCTCTCTCTCTCTCTCTCTCTCTCTCTCTCTCTCTCTCTCTCTCTCTCTCTCTCTCTCTCTCTCTCTCTCTCAGAGGTAGCGATGGACTCTCTCTCTCTCTCTCTCTGGTGCGGGCTTGCAGATTTTCCACTTTTTTTTTCTTCTTTTTAATTGGTCCCGATGGACCATCCTGCTCAAGCCGATGTCTACTCCCTCCCTCTCCTGCCTTCCCGTCCTCTCTCTCTCTCTCTCTCTCTCTCTCTCTCTCTCTCTCTCTCTCTCTCTCTCTCTCTGTGTGTGCGTCTAACCTTTTGCGGCTGCGTGTGTGCACGCGCCCGCTTCGCTTTTTTTTTTCTTCCTGAAATCGCTTGTGTTTCTGGTTTCTTTTATTTCCGAAATCGCTCATGCTTCCCTTGTTTTTTTTTTCTCCATTAAACTGATCAGTGCACGAATGGATTTTCCATTTTTTTTTCTTTCTTTTTTAAAGGTCTCAATCGACCACGGATCAGATATGAAACTGACAGGAACAGATACTACACCTGATTGTGGGGGGATGGTCCAGTCTCTCTCTCTCTCTCTCTCTCTCTCTCTCTCTCTCTCTCTCTCTCTCTCTCTCTCTCTCTCTGTCTGTCTGTCTGTCTGTCTGTCTGTCTCTCTCTCTCTCCCCCTCGTGCGCGCTCGCTTGCTTGCTTTTTTTTTCCTTTTGAAAATAGACAGGTCTGTGGACCACGGATCAGATATGATCTTGCGGAGAGGGAAGATCGGATATGAAACTAATCGAAGGAGACACTGCATTTGAT